AAGATAATATGTCAATGAATCTTGTAAACCGAACCAGACGAGTGCTGACACCACAGACTGTTTGGTGTCTATATAATATTTGCTAGTATAATTGCCAAACCTAGCCTAATTTGCATAATTTTTTTTTAAATATTAAAACCCTAGCTCTTAGTTCATTCACATACAAAAAATGAGCAAATCGTTGAACCTGAACTGACTAATGGCAATTTCTCATTTTTGCCAAATAATTGCGAGGCTCGAAAGTACCGTCGACTGGGTGCTGACCCAAAATAGGACGTTTAATATGGAGCATAGCAGGTAACACTGATTACCCAATTTCAAAGCATGTTGGCATCAAACGGCTTCCTGAGTTATCGTTGACGTAGCGAACTGTTGACGGACGGACGGAAGACGGACGGACGGACGTACGACGGAAGCACAACCATGGCAATAGCCTCAGCTGACGATGTCAAGGTGAGCTAAAAAATGCACTCGCAATCAGTGACTATACACTACAGGGTTTAATCATCAAGATATAATTGCCCATAACCAGCTTCTAGTAGTCACCAGAAACCTTTAAAAATAGGCTTGCTTTCATTAAAGTCTCACGTAGTCGACTTGAAGTCTCCATACATAAAAATTCGATAGGTTTCTTCGATTTGTACCGTTGTCGTCGACAATTTGAAGAACTCACATCAATAACTCTCGTTATTTGTCGCTTCATATAGTTTGGATATATAATTCTCTATCAACGATATTCCTATGTCACTAACACGGGAACGTTCGCCAGTAACAGTCCACGATTAGCTTGCAAGGTATTATGGTATTCGATAAAACCACAGTGTGAATGAACATGTTACCTTCTCTGGATGGTGAGAGTTATTTAACATATACAAACTCCTTCATTCATAGTATACGATCGACACACCCAAATGTTAATTTATTATATGAGATAGGCGTGAACTGTGAAGTCTGCAATTATGCATCAATGGTAATAGTAGCATAATGTGTGATTGGAGGACCGCGCTTTCACATGCTCACTGAAAGTGTTTTAGTAAGTGCTGTGTGAATTTCTGTCGTCTTGAGCTTGCGTTGACTCTCCAGCGTTTTGACCATACTTCTACCAATGAGGATGTCTATCATAATTTTTTATACATTATGAAGACGACTGGAATGTATCGTCGAACTCCAAGACTATCATTACATCGTGTGCGAGGAGACTCGCCTACTATTCAGGGTAGATAATCGTGAACGTAGATTTACTTATTTTAGCAGTGGCGCCTAACGCTATAACCGTGGCAATCATTGGTTGCCGGTTCTAGAAAAAATCATCAATTTTGGCCATAATGTATCCACTAGGAGATTCGCATTCTTTTTTATTCCAGTGGTAGACATCTACGTGCTAGGTTTCACAAATCGTTGAGAATTCTCGATACAGTTCTTCTTCCAAAAATATTTTAAAATATAGCGCTATTTAGAAATTGGATAGCAAGTTACATTCTTAGTGCTATTTTGGATTGATGTTTTTGCTATCTTCTGTCATTGGTATTAGTACAGTCGGTTAGGTCAGAATAGGCATCTAGAATCGTATCAAATGTTGAAAAAGTGGTGAAAATTGGTACACTTGCATACTTTATGTATGCCCTCTTTCATTTAAAGCAGGCACACGCGAATTACACCTACAACTTCGACCGCCATATTGAATTCAAAAATGGCCGCCTGTCATTTCTTAAAAAAATAGCTATATCTCGGTTAATAATCTGCGTACAGACTTGAAGAATTGACTAGACAGACGTAATATGGGTTGATATTTCATACACACAATGTGATGCATGTGTCCATGGGGCGGTCTTTCTGCCGCATTCTTGGAATTCAAAAATGCCGCGTCATTCTTTGAAAAAATAGCTATGATCTGGTGAATAATCTTCGTACAGACTTGAAAACTTGACTGACAGACGTAATTTGGGTTAGTTATTTCATCCAAACACGTGATGCATTGTGATCAAAGGCGTGTTCTCGGCACCGATCTTGAATTCAAATGGCGCCGTCATTTCTGAAAAAATATGCTATATCTCGAGTTAATAAAATCTTCGTACAGACTTGAAAACTTTACTGACAGACTTAATTTGGGTTACTATTGTCAATACAACAAACGTGATGCATGTGATCCAAGAAGCGTTTTTTGGCCACCATCTTGGATTTAAAATGGCCACCATAAAAATACCAAACTTAGCAATTCTTTTCGTTTCACGGAAGATATAGGAGACGTGAAAATGTTGCCAGACTGGCGCAGGGTTAATAAGCTCTCATATTAACAGACACACAAGTTCCAATTATAATGTACAGCGGCATGATTGAATTCAAACATTGGCGCATCAACATTTTACTCTGTTACTTCAAATATGATCAATGACATAGTATAACAGATAACAAACAAACATGTGAAAATGTTAAATACCGATTTTTCTCAGTGATATAACAAACAATGCCAACTGGCCAATCGCGATCCCCAGTGTGGAGAGAGAGATAATTCCAGACAACAAGTCTGTAGTATACAGTACACAAGAACATGCATGGGCAAAGCCTAAAAACTTACTATTGCTTAAGTTAAACAATGTCTCGAAAACTGCATTGTCCACAAGGTTGTCGCAGATTGTCACTCAGACTGCGTAACTGTACCTGCACAAACACAAATATATACTTTGTATGTACAGGTATAGGATCTGTTATGCTGCGTGCGTTTATCGCGGGCGTATAGCGTATCTGTTATGTACGTGCGCATGCGTGCTCGCGCGCGTATACTAGCTAATCTGTTAGCTGCGTGCGTGCTTGCGCGGCGGATATTTATGCCATCTGGTTCATGTGCCTGTGCGTGGCGTCTCGCGGGGCGTATAAGTACCTGTTATGTGCATGCGTGTCGCGCGCGTATTATAAGCTATTCGGTATGTGCGTGCGTGCGTTTCTCGCGCGTCGCGTATAGGTATCTTTATGTGGCGTGGGTGCTCGCACGCGTATATAGCTTTTTGTTATGTGCCTGGCGTGCGTGCGTTCGCGCGGGGTATAGGTACCTTTATGGTGCGTCGTGCGGTGCTCGCGCGCGTATAGTGAGTTCTGTATGTGCGTGCGTTCTCGCGGCGCGTATAGGTACTGTTATGTGCGTGCGTGTCTGCGTGCGCGTATATAGCTATGTTATTGTCGTGCGTGCATTCTAGGCGGGCGGTATAGGGTACCTGTTCGATGTGGTGGCGTGCTCGCGACGGTATATAGTGTGTTATGTGCGTGCCGTTCTCGCGGGAGCGTATAAGTACCTGTATTGCGTGCGTGCTCGCGGCGCGTATATAGCTTCTGTTAGTGAGGTGCGTTCTCGCGGGCGCGTTAGGTACCTGTTATGTGCGTGCGCTCGCTCGCGCGCGTATGACAGTTATCTTGTTATTGTACCGTGTTGCGTGCGTTCTCACGGCGCGTATAGATATCTGTTATCGTTGCGTGGCGGGTGCGTCGCGGCTATATACTGTGATCTGGCTCGTGTCTGCCGGCGGTAGAGTACCTGTATATGGCGTGGCGGTGCTCGGCGCGGGTATCATAGCTTCTATTTATGTGCGTGCGTCTCTCGCGTGCGTATGGAGGTACTCTTCTGCTGCGTCCTGCGTGCGTCGCGCGCGTAATTTATAGCTATCTGTTATGTGCGGGTGCGTGCGTTCTCGCGGAGCGTATAGGTACTGTTATGTGCGTGGCGTGCTCGCGGTGGTCTATCGCTATCTGTTAGTGGGCAGTGCGTTCTCGCGGGCGTATAGGTACCTTCTTATGTGACAGCCCCGCGTGCGGTGCTCCGCGCGCGGTATATAAGCTATCTGTTATGTGCGTGCATGGCGTGCGTTCGTCGCGCGAGCGTATAGGTACCTTTATGTGCGTGCGTGTCGCGTCGCGTATAGGTACCTGTTATGTGGCTTTGCGTGTCGCGCGCGTCTATATAGCTTCTGTTATTGCTGCGTGCTCCGTGCGCGTATATAGCTATATCTTATGGTTTACACGTCGCGGTTTATGAAGAACGGCACGTTGAAAAATTGCGGTTTAGACACTCCACGATTAAATTCTGTGTTTTTCCATCGTTTCCAACGCCCGTGTTGGATACGGGCACGTGTCGACTTGGCCGGATGGTACTTAACCTGCGCCAGTTGGCACATTTTCACGGCTCTATATCTTCCCGTGAGCGGAAAATATTGCTAAGCTTAGTAATTTTTTATGGCGGCCGTTTGAAATCCGCCCTTGGGAGCACAGTGCAGTCACGTTGTTTGTGATTGAAATGGAGTAACCCAAAATTACCGGTCTGTCAGTGGAAATGTTTGCGGAAGTCGGTGGTATGAAGATGTAGGTGAGAGGCGCGAGAGATATACTGAGTTTTGAAAGAGGTGCACGGCGGGGCATGTTGGAATGGTTCGAAGATGGTGCCGGAAAGACGCCGTTGGAGGCACATGCCAATCGAGCGTGTGTGGTGTATAGAATAGGTAGACCGCAAATTACGTCGGTGGTGGCAGGGGTGAAGGTTGTCGGAAGTCGTGTTAGCGGGGAAGGGAGTGTAGGTTGGAAGCGGAGATTAGCTATTTTTGTAGAAATAACGGGCCGGGGGGGGGCCAGTTTGTTAAATTCAATATGGGCGGGCCGGGAAGTTTGTAGTTGGATGCGGTGGGGTGTGCCTGCGTTTTAAATGGAGAGACAGTAGGCAGAAGAGTATTGCAATGGGTTACGGAATTTTGCTACGTGTGGTTTGCAGGCAGAGTGTGAACGATTGTGTTGTCTAATTCTACGTGTACTACGATTGGATGTTGGTGTGATGAGCACGTCGACGCACAACGTAATAGACTAATGTGGTATACCGTTTTTCGTCGCATTTATCGAATTTGTGGACGTGATAACGTACGGCGCTCGTTGACGATGTGTTGAGACATGACGCGTGTCATTTGTACGGCAGCTATTCGCGGGCGGGGTGTGGGATACGAGAATTGGCGATTGAAAAATGGGGTGGCGTAGCATGCGCCGCTTACATATGTGTCGTCTGTCGCCGGCCACGGGCGAGTGGAATTTATTTGGTCGAATTAGGATGGAATTCGGCGTAAGATAGGCGGTAGGGGGGGCCCTAACGTTCCTGTTGCTCTTTAGTCATAAAAGTATTAATATCTTGCGTCCATTATGCAAAGCTTGTTGCTGTGTGTGGTGTTGTGTGTGTGTCGTGGTCGTGTGGTGTGTGTGTGTGTGTGTGTGTGTGTGTGTGTGTGTCGTTTGTGTTATGGTTTGGCTGTGTGGTGTTGTGTGTGGGTGTGTGTGTGTGTGTGTGTGTGTGTGTGTGTGTGTGTGTGTGTGTGTGTGTGTGTGTGTGTGTGTGTGTGTGTGTGTGTGTGTGTGTGCGTTAGTATAGGTACCGCCACTATATGTACGCGTGGTATCCTGCGATTCAATGTCTGATTTATCGATTTCCGACCCCCGCTAGCACTCGTGATGTTGTGTAGGAATAGCAGGGGCGCGGTAACAGCTATCTACGCGTTTCTACGTGCGTACACGCAGCTGACGTACACACAGCATACCTGTGATCAGTCACGACCACCGACGCCGTCGCCCGGTCCGTCGTCTCCTGACCATCGCTTTGCTCCGCGTGACCTGTCATCGCGATGCTGGAGACGCCGTGGCTTGCGGTGGATGCTAGCGCGCGTTGCTCAGCCTCTCAATGTTCGTGCTCATGTGCTGCGAGTAGCGCGGAGTGCTGTGTGCCTGCTAGAATCGAGAACGAATGAGACGTGAATGTCGTCGCTGTAGCGATCGAAGCCGCAGCGCGCGCACGCGGGCGGGCGTGCGTGCAAATGTCACCGAACGTCAACCCTGCGTTAAACTCACCGTTTGCCACGTTCTTCGAGCGCGTGAAACAGCAGCTAGACGGAGCGATGCGCACGATTCTCGCCGATCGAACCTTCGTCGGGAGACGTGATGTACACACCTGCCGCTTGCTGCTGTATGAATCGCTGACACTCCGAGCCGTATAGATAGATGTAGCGGAGAGGCTGGCCATGTGGGCGAGGAGCCGCGCAGCCGCCGTTCGCAGCGGGCGCGACCATTAATGACTTCAAAGCGGGTGCGAAGTCGCTGTCATACAAAAACACCCTGCCGAATGCGCTCGCGATATAATTTGTTTATGTAGCATATGTTTGCTTAGAAAAACTAGTTGCTTTTAATATAATGCATGGATAAATAAATATATTAAACGATTTGGTTGTGGACTGAGAAAATCAATGTTGCCCGAGACTAGAGAGCGACGGTAACATTTAATTTGAAGGTTCATAAAAGTCCATCCATGTTGACTAAACAATCCATCAATAACTATTTTTATGATGTGTAAAATCTGGACTACATAATTCTACGATAATAGAATAATTCGAATAATTATAGGATAGTATGGCAAGTGGAAACTTTGCATGGGACGATGCCAAGGAAAATGTTCTTTTACTACCGCTTTTCTACTTATAATTTATTATAAATAACTTAATTTAAATAAACTCCGATGTTACCATGACCATCCAATCAGCATCGGCGGGCCCGTAGAGAGCATTCTCAGAGTAGCGTTTTTTTTATCAGAAGGTAGACCTTTCGAGTTAGTAAACTTAGTTTGTGTACTGCATAAACGCAATCAGTGAAAGTTTGGTCAGGTGGCCATCTTGTCATCATTAATCACTGGACCTGCTACTACCTCTACTACTGATGCTATTTATTATTATTATTATTATTATTATTTCCAAAGTGGATCACGGCATTAGTCGGTGGCTTCTGGTTTGACCGTGTCCCAACGCGCGACTTGCATTGCGCTCACAAATGAATCCATGCGCCATGGGTGATAAGCAGTAGTGTTTTTAGCTCATCTGACATAGTCAGATGCAGCTTGTAGAATCGCATGATCGTCCGTCCGTCCGTTCTAAAAATTGGCTCGCAATCCAGTGACCTATACACCTACATGTGTATCATCAGATATATTCGTACCAGCTTCAGTAGTCACCAAAACCTTTAAAAATAGCTTGCTTTCATTAAAGTCTACGTAGTCACTTGAATACTGATGAATACACTTGTCCATACATAAAATTCGATAGGTTTTTCGATTTGTACCGTTGTCGTCGACAATTTGAAAACTCACATCAATAACTTCGTTATTTGTCGCTTTCATATAGTTTGGATATATAAATTCTTTATCAACGATATTCCTATGTTCACCTAACACGGGAACCGTTCGCAGTAACAGTCCACATGACTCGCCAATATTATGGTATTCGATAAAACCACAGTGTGAATGAACATGGTACCTCTCTGATGGTGAGAGTTATTTAACAATATACAAACTCCTTCATCATATATACGATCGACACAACCCAAATGTATATCTATTATATGAGATAGGCGTTGAAGTCTGCAATTATGATCAATGGTAATAGTAGATATGTGTGATAAGGACCCGATGAGGACCGCGCTTTCACATGCTCACTGAAAGTGTTTTAGTAAGTGCTGTGTGATTTCCTGTCGTCTGAGCTTGCTTGACTCTCCAGCGTTTTGACCATACTTACCAATGAGATGTCTATCATAATTTTTATAATTATGAAAGACGACTGGCAATGTATCGTCGAAACTCCCAAGACTATCATTACATCGTTTGCATGCGACTCGTACTATTCAGGTAGATAATCGTGAACGTAGATTTACTTTATTTTAGCGGTGGCGCCTAACGCCTATAACCCGTGGCAATATCACTTGGTTGCCCTTTCTAAAAAAAATCATCAATTTTGGCATAATGTTCCACTAGGAGATTCGCATTATTTTTATTCCAGTGGTAGACATCTACTGCTAGGTTTCACAAAGTCGTTGATAATTCTCGATACAGTTCTCTTCCAAAAAATATTTGTAAAATATAGCCGCTATTTTAGAAATTGGTAGCAAGTACATTCTTATTGCTATTTTGGTTGATGTTTTTGCTCATCTCTTAATTGGTCATTGACGTTTGTTGTGAGACACTCGACCACAACGTAATAACTAATTTATACCGTTTTTCTCCATTTATCGAATTTGTACTTATACTACAATATTATAACAATAATATTACAATATTATACTTATACTACAATTTGACAGTTTTTAGACATGACGCTTTCATTCGTACCACTATTGGCGGCGGGTTGTGTATACAGAATTTCGATTAAAATGGTTGCTGACATCGCTTACAATATTGTCTCTCGCGCCACCGCGTGAATTTATTTGTCGATATAGACTGGAATTCGGTAAATAGCGGTAGGGGCCCTACACTTCCTTTGCATCTTTAGTCATAAAAGTATTAATATCTTGCGTCCATTTGCAAGCTTGTTGTGTGTGTGTGTGTGTGTGTGTGTGTGTGTGTGTGTGTGTGTGTGTGTGTGTGTGTGTGTGTGTGTGTGTGTGTG